GGTGTTTGGTGTGTGATTGTTACTATATTGTCACATCTTTCTGCCTTGAGGAAGGGACCCTGCGTGGCCCCGAAACGTCTGTTTATTTGGATGTCTGTGACGCTTTCTGTCCAATAAAAGGGACATATTTATCTTTACTACTGTGTGCTGGTGATTTCCTGACTTTCCTGTGTTTGCACGGTGCCATCCGTGGTAATTCATCACTGCGAGCACCACTTTTTTTTCTGATCTGGCCAGGACTGCCTTGGGGAGTGCAGAGGGTCTCCCCATCGACTTACATCTGTTGTCGCATCTGACACTGAAATGAATGTACTCCTAGCGGCGCCAGCCTCAATGAAGTCTGAAACTGCATGGCCACTCTCTGCTGGAGGTTGGGGCGGTTTGTCATGTTCTTGTCTTCGGACCATTTACCGTTGAAACAGATGGTAAGGTATGGTCGCTCCTGCATTAAATCCTATATGAAGGTCCCTAATGCCTGTCTCTTTGTGCTTAGACACGGAATAGATTGTTTTTATGTTAAAATATTTTTAGGTATAGGGGTGCTGCTGGTTTTATCACCCTGTTCTTCCTTGAGGCACAAGTGGTGGTTTAAATTATAAGGATTGGAGAGATGTGCTGTTTATGTTCCACGCTAATTTGACCATATATTTGTGGACGCGCAGCAGCTCTCAAGAATCACTGCCAGTCATCAGTGGGGAGGATCCTGTCAGATAAGTCGGGATGTCTTCTCATTGCGGCGCTTAGCCCTGCCCACCACCTTAAATAAGGTTTTACAGCCTTACTGTGCATTTTGGCTAATTAGAGTAAATTACATTATTTACTTATTTAGCCTAAGGAATGCATTAATAACGCTGAGGGAACAAATAAGCATTGGTTTTATCCCACCTGTATAAGACCACTTATGATTACTGCTGTGTGTCATGCTGGGCACACACCTTACAACCATCGCAAGAACTTTGTCTTACGATGGTTGTAAGTTAATTAAAAACGTACGATCTGCCTATCTTGGACAGGCAGATCGTACTTGTGATGATCGCAAGCCCGCCCCGCTGTGGGGCGCGCTTCTGATGACCGCAATGCTAAACGCCCCGATGACCGCAATGCTAAACATGCCACAAACCAGCCGAAAATCGTACGATGTTCGGCTGGATTTCGAACATGTTCATAAGATAAAAGTCTTGCGACCTTACAGTAGGAGAGGTCGCACGCCTTCCACACACCCTGCGATAATCGTACGATCGCGGGATTTCCAGCGATTATCGCAAGGTGTGTGGGCACCTTCAGAGTGGTAAGAGGCTGCATATAGAGATCCTTGCCCAACATATATACTATATAGCAGAAGTCTGCTATGTCTGCAGAAGCAAAAAGGTGGCTAAATGCAATTTACATGCTTGATGGTGTATGCTGTTATGGGAATTCTGAATGTATATGCATTGAACACACACACATGAGTTTTATGATTTTTGGACAAGAGCTTTTGCACTTTTCAGGCAGTGATCTTTAGGCTACATTCGTACTATGTGCAACTGGAAGCGTTCGTCTTTTTTTCCCCAAAAGCTCTTTTGAAAGCTCTATAGTGCATTTTTATGACAGTTGAAACTGAATGCAAAGGTATGATTTTTGAAACCATTGTTTCTACTGTGCATGCTTTTGTTAGGTGTTTTTAGACCCACACCTGAATGCAGCTGGTGTGGGCAAGCCCTAAGGCCTCCTTCACACAGCTAAGAGTCGGTTCGTACAGATTCGTGCAGCATCCACAGCCGTATCGGGCTGTTCCCGGGAAGGACAGGTGTTGCGTGTAATTGTACGTAGCAGCCTGTTCTTCTCTATGGGAGGATGTGTCTGTACGCTCATCCGAGCTGCACATCCGTGCGGGTGTCCGTAGAGGTGTTTTGCTTTGTTTTTTTTAAATGTACACTCGAGTCTGCTTTTGGGTTGTCCCTGCTGTGCGGCACTAGTGCAGTTGTAAATAGGTTGAAGGAGAGGGATAAATTCCATGATGATAACCATCCCTCTTTTATCCTAACTGATCCGTTGAGTGGGAGCAAGCTTTTCTTCATCTAGGCTTTAGAAGGTGTCCTTCCTGGAAATCAGTCACCCTTGGAAGAAATTAAAGAATATTTTAGCCTGTTTCAGGGCCTAAGAAAGGCTGCAAAGCATCATAACAGCTTTGCCTGGTGACTCATGCTAACCATTGTGCGATCCATCCTCCAGAGGGATTTACGTCATTCTCCAATAGGGGTTTAGTCTCATCTTGGGCAGACAAACCTGGGGTTTCACTAAAGCAAATCTGTATGGAAGCCACTTGGTTCAGTTCCGAACTCCTGTGTAGCACTGCGGAGTCATCTTCTGCTCCAGTTGTGATCAGGCTTTTGACAAAGGTGCTCTTGGTAGTTGTCCAGCAGAAGGAAGGAGGTCCTGATTCCTCTATAGCGATCTTTAGTTATCACTAGAGGGATCCCCAGCAGGAGGAAGGAGGTCCTGATTCCCCCCAAAATGTATTGTAATTTCTCGCTTATCCTCTCCTGTGCTGTCCTGATGATGATTTGGAAAAACACAAGTTCCGTACCTGGTAACTTTACCAGGAATCTTCCAGGACAGCAGAGATCCCACCCTTCTTATTAAGGGGTTGTTTTTCAACATGCATTTTATGGTTACTGTCTGGTGGGCCATCGGTTGTATTGTAATACTAAGGTGGTGGTGGGGGGCGCCGCCGCTTTTGTTTTAAGGGCCTGTTCACACGACGTCTGTATTCTGTGCTGACCTGATCCGTACGCTCCTGCACTAAAAATGCATCCCAATGTATTCCTATGTGTTTTATGGGTTACAGTTCTCACGTGCCCAGTCTGTTCCATTCCTGACTGAAAAAATACTGCATGTCACATTTTGTCCGGTCAGAAAACGCACTAATGCGTCAAAAATGCAACGCAAACTGAACTGAACTTTTTTGCAGCTAAGCAAAAAAAATTATTCTTGCTTGTGAATGAATGGCAAGCCTCTGTACTACGTGCTTTTCACTCATTGAGTGCTGAGGCTGCAGCAAAAGGATCTCTATATGCAGCCTCTTACTCTGAAGGTCCTAAATTTAGCTTTACTAGAGAATAGTCAGGTCTGCAATATTATTTGGTGCACACAAAATGGATTTCTATCCTTTGTGGCTATTGAGGATTAGATTTACTTTTACCTTTTGTCTATGTGGAGTTTAGCTTTAAATTAGTTTTTGCACATTAGCTTTAAATTAGTTTTTGCACATTTGTCTGCGTTAAAAAAGGAGTTCTGAAGAAATCTACATGCAGCTTCTGGCTATTTCTTACATGTAAACGACTTTCTTTAATTATCTGTTTCTTCAAGAATACAGATATACCTTTTTGTCATCTTGTGTCCTAGTATGCAATGTTAAATCAAGATACATGCAATTTATTTGTATACAAATCATGCAAAGTACACATAATTACATTGTAATACAAATGAAAAATATAAATTAATTATTGGTATTGTAGAGGCATTCCTTAACTTTTTTTTTTTTTTATACTTTCATGATATTTTTTCTTCTTCTTTGCAATGTCTAGTGGTGAGCACTTTTTAGTTTTATCTATTTACTTTGCTGAAGGAATAGGTACATTTTTGACTACTGGTCAGAGAAGAGCTAGCAGGATTTTCTTATTTTTTTTTTCAGGAGCTTGCTCCATTGACCACTAGAAAAAAACCCTCAAATGATAGGTGTCAGCTGTGATTTTTAAGGCGCATTGGCTGCTTGGGATTTGTCCGGCCTTGCAGTAATCTCTTTTTAACCCTTCTGCTGCCAAGCCCTTTAGAATGCTTTTAACCTCAGCTGGGCACAACATTTTTGCAATTTTTCCCATTGTTTTGATTCCCTACTGCTGTGTTGCTAACGTTTTGTAATAGACCCCCTCCCCCCCACCATATATTTTCTGGAAACACAGGCCCGGGGTAGAATAAATATGGTGCTACTAATTTTGTAGGTCCTGCGATAATTGCACAAATTTAGCAAATCAATATTTAAACTGATGAAAATCTGTATCGGTGTACACACAAAATTTGTATCCAAATAAATCTCAAAGATAAAACTGTATTGAGTTAAACAAATATTTGTACATTTTAAATTGCCTTTTTTGCGAAGCAGTGAAAAATAAATAAATGAAGAAATGCTAAACTGTAAATAAGCGACTTATGTTAAAAATTGTGCACTGTGTTGGTGTGTGTTGTGATAAAATGATACAGGTGTATTTTTTTACTTAGATTTTACTGGGGGGTTCAGGGACATATCAGGGGTCTAAACAGATCCCTGACATTTCCTTTTTGAAATGGAAAAAGAAATTGAGGATGCGAGTCCTAAATCTTTTGCTGCAGCCTCAGCACTCAATGAGTGAAAAGCACGTAGTACAGAGGCTTGCCATTCATTCACAAACTGGGGATAGTAAAACATTTACTATCATCCAGTTATGAATGGGTAGAAGCCTCTGTACTGAACTGCTTCTACCGATTTTCCGAAACTCCCTGAATGAACAGGAAGTGATGCAAAGCATCCCACGCCTGCCATTTCTTCTCAGATCCACGCCGCCTCCGTCCATGCAAGTGGGGCAAAGCAGCAGGGATCCAAGGAGAAATAGATCCCAGCCTGGAGCGGCCTCAGGCGGGGAGGAACAGCTGCAGATTGGGAAGCCGCGTCTCCATGCTGATCCTGGGCAGTCAAGAAGCTGGGCAGTTGGAAATGACGAGCGTAAGTATCGGTACTCTGTATCGGGGAGTAATAAAATATAAATATTGGTACTTGATACCGAAAAAACGCGGTATCAGTGCATCCCTAATATAATTGTTTGTCATGCATGACAATAAAAGCGTTAAGGAGTTTTTATTGTCATGTGTTGTCATGTCCATTTAGAAAAGAAAAGTAATTGAGCGCTTTGCATGCAGAAGTGGTAATGTTTTAGCATATTGGTTATAAGTAGTAATAATCTTAAATCCTTTATTTTTCCTAGAACACTTCAGTAATGGATGATCAAAATGAAGATGAATCTCCAAAGAAAAACACTTTGTGGCAGGTAGGAATAGGATTTCTTTATCAGCACTATAAGGTTAGTGTGTTGAGTTGGAAGTGCTTAAGTGGACCTAATGCTATTAAAGCCCAGGCTCCATATACAGTAATAAATTCTTTTTTTTTTTTGATACATCGGTTAAGTGATACAGCAAGGGTTAAAAAAAAAAACCCTGTACTGGCAGCACCAGCTGCTCTTACTCCAGTTTAGGCTAGGTTCACACCTAGGCGATTTGAGCTGGTGAACTGTTTTTTGTGCAGTTGCGTATTTTCCATTTGCTCTCTCTTTCTTTGAAAAACGCACAGTTGTCAAGCGATTGTCAATGCATAGAGATATCTGTGGGACCCAAACCACCCGAAAATAGCTCCTGCACCTTTGTGCGCGACAGGCGGTTTCTACTGCGCGACAATTTTCAAAAGTGCGAACAGCTTACATAGACTTGAATGCAAATCTCTGTTTTGCGCAATATTACGTTGATTTCAGGGCACCAGCTGATTCTACAGGGAACTAAAACTTTCGAACTAAAGTGCATCATACATTGTAAGTAATTTATTCAGCATTTGAAATAACTTAAAAAAACCTTTTGACTTTAATATTAATTTAAGCTACTAGCTAATATGATGCTCTTTAATCTTAACGGGTATTTCCAATTTTGTAGTAAAGCGTCAGAAAAACCCTTTCACATTTGAGATGGTTTTTTTTTAGATGAGATGTATGTTATGTGTTCCCATTCACACAGCATACCTGAAAGTAATAATTTAAACAAAAAAAGATCTTACCTTTTTTTTTTTTTTAGATGTTTTGTTGCAGCAGGCAAATGTCTGAATCCAGATATTTCTCAGCACCCTCCGTGATCTGTCCTTATATAAAGACTTGGGACAGAACTTATGGATTGTGTTTGTCTCATTAGCATACAATGCACCAGTCAGGCTTTGAATCCTTTAACCCTTTGTTAGGCCAGGCAGTGCTTAAATCTACTTTACAAATAATGAACACAGCCCCTCCTAACAGTACAAATAAGAAGCAAGTAGACATTTTTAACCTCTAAGAAGCCAATAAACCCTAACCCAAATAAATGCATTTCAAACTGCAAAATGCATTTTTAGATATATTTTTTTTAAGCTTATGTAATGTGAAATGAGAACATCTTGAACCTTGAATAATGAATTGTTTCTTTAGATTTCCGGCCTGACCCTGTATCACCTTTGCAGATTGGGAACATGAGCAATGGTAGTCTACCCTATTCTTGATTTGATTGATTTTTTTTAAAGCTGCAAGTTACTTTTTTTTTTTTAAAGAGTTGGGGTTGTCAGCAGACAGTTGTCACTGCACATCTGTTACCAAATCAGCATTGTGAAATAATCACTGAGGCAGAATTTTGTGCCTTTATGATGGTTCCTCTTTGCGCTATTTTATCAAAGTTTAAAGATAGGTTTCATCAGCATGCACATCAGTTGTGAGGTGATATCCCTTTCCCTGCCAATGACATAAGCATACAGCGGAACAAAAACATTTTTAGCTGGCCAGGTCAGAATGCCTTATGTCACTGGCATTCAACCTGTCTTCAGCGACCATAAGCTTATAGTAGAAGGCTTCTCTTGATGTTTCTCTGTAAATGAATAGCTGTCAGCAGCAGTAGAGGGATCAGGAACGGCAGAGGCAGCAGGGATTGGAGGGGAGACAGATTGGGGCATGCAGCCGACGCCCAGCTGGGAGGAGAGATCTGTGACAGCCCAGTCAGGATGCCGAATGGTGGATCAACAAATATTTCCCATATCCTGCTGATCCTTCTCTGTACTGAGCACACAGCGGAGTGATTAGTACTTATCACTCTGATGTTTGTAATAACGAAGTACCTTTTTACTATGTCCCATTATAAATGAACAGAAAGGTCTATACATCACTTCCTATTCATTCATGATTGGCGCTTTTCTGTGTGTTCTAATATGCGGTGTTGTGATTTACATGTAAGCCTGGATCATTTTATTGCAACACGCTCCAACACCGTTCACAAACAGTAGTGCAGATGAAGCATTACCACAACACAAATGTGAGGCCAACCTCCAGATTTTTAATTTAAAATTTACAAATATTTGTTACTATTTAACTCTGTACAGTTTATCTTTTAGATTTAGTAGGAGTCTTGTACATTTTTTTAATGCATTTTTTTTAAATTATTTTTTTGTATGCACTGAAAATTATTTGTTTTTTTTTTATTTAAGGAAAATAGTGCTTCTGTGATAGACTACAATCTCAATACAAATTAGTAAACTTAAAGTGAAACTAAACTCAAAAGTTAAATCTTACAAATTCCTTAAAGTACCTTAACTATTAACAAAAATGTAGCTTATTTGTGTATCACTCAGCTGTAGATCCTCAAATCATCTCTGAATTCTTGATGACACTGTCCTTCCTCCTGGAAGGTGGCTACTTTTGTTCACCATGGTCCCTGTGTGTGTTGTAAAGTAGCCACTACTCCTCCAAGCTCATTCCCATGATGGACTACAATCTCACATTTAGTTTCCTCATTTATATTGAGATTGTAGTCCATCCAGCGATTTCAAAGGATGTCACCAGCACACCATAATTTCAAGTGAATTTTGCGAAGTCCATTTAATGACCAGAACAACACACAGGGACCATGGGGAACAAAAGTAGCCACCCTCCAGAAGGAAGGACAATGTCCATTTTAAATTTGTATTGCTTTTAGTAATAAGGAGAACAAGAAGAAGGATACAAACAATAAACATATACCACAAAATGTGAGCAGCAAAAAAGAGATACAAAGGCATCTTGTGACAATTCAGAACAACTGTAGTCTTAAGTACAGAAATCAATCTTAAAAGGCATCAAGTCGTGCATTTAGCAGCTTTCTCTATGTCCAAGTGGTACTGTCTGATGTATGAAACAATATGATCTGCGCCAGTGAAATATAGTGAAAGCTAACAGGCACTGATGAGTAATAATCAAACAAAAATAAATATAAAATGTGCCGAGCTGTAAAAGTCAAACAAAACAGTGGCAATGTGACATATCAGGTCAATGACATAAAAGTGAAAACATATCAGTGAATGAATAAATCACAAAACATGCAATATAAGAAACTTTGAAAAAAAGTAAATCGACAGGTGTTTGGAAGGCGTGCAACCGTTTCTACTGTACGGTCGCACATCTTTTGTCTTCCGAGCACGCTTGAAAACCTGCCGAAAATCCCAAGATTTTCGGCGGGTTAGTGGCGTGCTCGGAAGACAAATTCAGAACGGGCCGGTGTGCGCAAGCGCTCACTGCCCACTCAGCATTGGAATTATCGGAAGCCCAAGGAAGGAAACTCGTGCGATGGTTGTAAGGTGTATGGTTAACTTAACTCCTTGTACGCTCATACCAAATGCACATAAGTATAATCCATCCAGAGGGAAACAAAAAGAAACAGCGCGTATCGTCCAGACGATATAACATTTTCATCATTAAAAATGTACCTGCATAAATCTCATAAGAGTGAAGCAAAGAAAATAATCTCAGTCCAGGGTCCCGAGCAAACATGCACGGGCGAGGTAAACCTCCCGCCCTTCCTGCCAGACTCAGAGGATGGCGTCAGTAACTGCCCACCCTACGCGCGTTTCGTCTCACGTGACTTTATCAGAGGTTGTATGTCACTTGACAACCCAAATCCCGGGACCTTTTCCCTTCTGTCCCACGTAGATAACATTTTCATCTTGCAGCTCTTGGAATTAGGTTACGCATGAGGAGCCCATAGCTATCATTTAGTTGTTGTCTGTCATATGAAACTTGAATGAATAGAAAGGGAGAAGGGATCAGGATTGACAACTTGTTGCGAATCGTAGAGTCTTCAGCCACAAAAGGGGGAAGTTAGAGGAAAAATAGAGAAAGGACAGGGAAAAAGAGAAGTAAGCTGGGGTAGGTAAAGGAGATAGGGATTGGGGATCCCCTACATATCCACCCGACCATGTAGTCTGACCTCCAGACTTCACTAAACTTTCTGGTGTGCGGCTGCTCGGGTATGCATGTCTACACCATCTACGATGCCATGTTCAACGCTACAAGAGAATATAGACCAAGGTGCCCAAAACTGTGTGAATTTATTTCAACGTTCTGCTTGGTAGCGAGAAGTTCCTCCATTTCGCAGATATGCCCCACTTGATGGAGGCATTCCCCTATCGTGGGGGCCCGGGCCTCCCTCCACAGTCTTGGAATGAGCGATCTAACTGCATTGATCATATGTTTCTGCAGCGATTAAACAGGTCCCAGACTGCCTTGCTCTGGGAGATGCAATAAGAAAATACCAGGTACTCTGCTCATCAGACCATGGACCCTTCTCCAAAATGGTTGGAAGACGGAGCACGTCCAAAAGATGTGCATTAAGGAACCGCCCTCTGAGCCACATCTCCAACACTCAACAGGCAGTGTGGGGTCCATTTTGTGCAAAATGCCTGGCGTTCTATACCATCTGGTAAGGATTTTGTAGTTGGTTTCCTGCGCTTTACTGCTCACTGAACATTTGTGTCCCCCAGCACATCCTTTCCCAGGACTCATCTGAGATCTGCCTTTTCAGATCCACTTCCCATTTCTTTCTCAAGGTCGCTGCGCGAGGGGGGTGTGGAGTCCCTTTTTAAATAGCGCATAAAGCCAGGATATCAGATGTCTGGAAGGACCCCGGCCTGCGCAAGCCCTTTCGAATGGTGTCAGATCCCTGTCAAAGTCTCTCCTTTGGGCAGTTCGATAATGTAGGACTTGGAGGTATGACCACCAGGAAATCCGACCTTGTTTAGACAACTCTGCCAGGTCCGCTCTCTCAAGGAACCTCTGATGTTTGAAATCTGTGGGCCGTCAAAGGTTCCTGGGGTGGCCATTGCCGGAGAAAGTCAGTCGTAGAGCACGGCGGGAAGTCAGGATTGTCTGTCAATGGAGTGAGAGGGCTGTCAGGGGTAGTTAACCAGATAAATATGGACACCGGCACGCCAATGATAGAATACGTCTATTTAATGACA